AACCATCAAAAATTTAGAGGCGCGATAGACAAAATAGGGAGAATTAAATACCTGCTATGTACATGTACAAATGTAGGTATCTCACCCATGTATTTTCTGATCATGATAGGTAGATGATGGATTTGTAGACATCTCATGTCCTGTTAATATTTACCTTTTACCTAACGTTTACAATAAACATAAATAAGTAATTATCACACCGATTTAATGAACCATATCTAGAACACTACTACTTCTTATTAAAATATTAGAAGTTTCTCTCGTTTGCTCATTCCACGTCCGCCGGTTCGGGTACTTGCTCTAGTTTCCTGGATTCTCGGTTCGGTTCGGTCCCAGCGTGCACAGTGGAAAGACTAAGCCAAGACACGGAAAGAACGAATTCTTCAATCTTGGGTGCCACGGCCTGTGAGCCGGAAGACCGGTCAAATCTAAAAATCCCATCATTCAGCTTACATTCCCATTTCTACATAGTATTATTTCTAGTATTTCCATTCTTGGTCCTGAACCACGTTGGCGCTTCCCACCTACTCTACAACCATACAATACATAAACAATTCCCTTTCCGCCAAGCAATGCCGTCTCGAAGCCACATTTCTTGTTTGTGAGGCGATAAAAATAATGCATGGCGTGGATTATGTTTGATCTGGTCTAGCCAATCTGCGACATCGAATTACCTTTTTTTGCGACTTCGAGAACAACGGGCTTTGCTTGCGCCCTTGTCCACCACCCTTGATAGTCTTCCATCTCCCAGTCGATTCACTTCAACCGTGTCGCAGCTGCCAGAGACACTTCAGCCCGGGGTCTTGGAAGCTTCTTTCCAAGCTTCCACGACTGATTCAGTCCCTTCTATCGTCATTCAGGTCCTTTGAAGCCTAAGCGATATATAGGTAAAAGGTATGAATGCGGAGGAAAGCCTGGAACCCACCATCTTACTCCATCGGATTTGAGAGTTGCCAAAATCTGAAAATAATCTGAAATTTTACGAATAATCTCCACGCGCATAATTCATTGATTGCCTTAATCCTACCCCACGGCATCCCATCTGATTCTCACCGAAACGAAACGATCGCAGCCTTGCGCGCCCGCCGTCACTCGATAAACCCGACTTGCGCGGCTAGTAGCCTAGTTTGGTCGCCTACCGCCTAGAGCCTTGCGGTTTCGTACACGATTTTACCGCCGCTCACCAGTCTCGATTCGCTTTAACTTCTCCCACTGCGACCCGTCATCTCCAATATCAACTCTGCCCAACCTCGACAATCCCCGCACCTGTCCCAACGGGTGTATTCAATCTGGACGCTAGTTAGTGCTGGGAAGCCCGCTCTTCATCTGCGAAATATACGGTGCCCGTAATCAACCCTTGGTCGAGCAAGCCGGCGGTTAGATAGCACTGTGCATTCGATATCATTCCTGGTCGTGGCCCATGTACAGCTACTATCAGCATCCTATGCCATCTCCGAATCCTCGAAAACGACCAGCACCGGGTAGTGTGCCCATACCACCACAAATGGCGCAGCCATTTAACACGCAAGACCAATTGTTGAGGTGGAACGGGAACAATGCGGGAAACTTTACTGACAACGCTTCGAATGGGGTCAACTCGTATGGCGTAATACCATCGCCGACACAGGCCCAATATGGGCAAAACACACCGTCGAATATTCTTGCGAGGCGGGGTATGAATAATGCCATCGTCGCTACCAATCGCGCCTTTTCTCCACAGCAAAACGATCCATGGCCGAGTTTCGACGAGAACCTGCTGCCCGGCCAGAGCGAGGGGACCATTGATGAGCATGACAATATAGAATTACTCGAAGAGAAAGCTCAAAGGGCAAAGAGGGAGGCACAGGCGAAACGGAAGCAGATACCACCCTTTGTGCAGAAGTTGAATAGGTAACTTTTATTAAGCCCTTCGTCGGGTTGATGCTTACATTGCTGACATATCGTCTAGTTTTTTAGAAGAATCTAAGAATACAGATCTTATCAGATGGTCGGAGAAGGGGGACTCGTTTATAGTTCTCGACGAAGATGAGTTTGCTAAAACCTTGATTCCTGAGCTATTCAAGCACAACAATTATGCCTCCTTTGTTCGGCAACTCAACATGTATGGGTTCCATAAGAAAGTCGGCCTTTCAGACAATTCTATGAAGGCTAGCGAGCGTAAGAACAAAAGCCCAAGCGAATACTACAATCCTTACTTCAAACGAGGCCATCCCAATCTATTATGGTTGATCAACAAACCTAAGAGCGGTGGTAACAAGAAGGGCGGCAAGAAGCGGGGCGATGATGGTGAAGGCGAGAGCGACGAGGAGATTGTGATACCAGACGAGCCTATCGGCCACCCCTTCACGCAACAGAACCCCCAGAACCGGGCATTACCAGCACCAGAGCCAGGGCCGCTCCAGAAGAAGGAGCTGGCTGTCGTTCGAGATCAGATGGCGGCGCTTCAGCAACGGCAGAAACAGATCAGCGATGCGATCCAGCGGCTCCGACAGGAGCACAACCAATTGTATCAGCAAGCTATCATGTTCCAGAACATGCATGACCGCCATGAAAATTCTATCAATGCCATCTTGAACTTCCTTGCAAACGTATTTAGGAAGTCGCTCGAGGAACAAGGTGGCGTGCAGAATGTGAACGATTTATTGGCAAGCATCATACCCAATGTTCAGATGCCACCCCAGCAGGGCCAGGGAAGTGTAGTTGATCTAGGAGAGTGGGTACAACAACAGATGCCCAGGAACTCAACGCCGGTGGGCACGCCCAAGAGGCACAACCGCCTTTTGCCTCCTATCCCTCAGAACCAAGCGGCCAGAACCCCTCCAGCCAGTGTCGCATCTACGCCATTCCCAAATTATTCAAACCATCAGCAGCCGCAGATTGGACAGGTTACGGAAGTCATCGATACCCCGACGGAGTCGTCTACGCCGGCTTACCTCAAACAAGAGCTAGAGTCCAATCCTCAGGAGGGCATGATGAGAATTATTCATGATGCAAATACGAATGCTGGCAATGGCGCCCTCGACCTTCCCAACGTAGCCGCTCATACTTCAGCAACTCTGACGAACGACCAACGGAACCGCATGTTAAGCATCATGTCTGGGGGGCAGAGAAGTGGGGCTCATACACCAGTGCCCCCTGCAACTTCGCCTCCCGTCCCCTTAGCCAGCAGTCCTCCTGCTGGAGGCATTCCAACGAGCGGAAGCGCACCACCACCAAGCATTCGAAACTCATTGTCACCTGTCATGCCTTCAGTCCTCCCGCCATCAATCCAACGGATATCGCAAACAGAAGAAGAGCTCGACCATCTGCAACGGTTGCAGAGCGAACAAGCTCAGAAGCTGGATGATCTCAGTCATATTCTAGGACCATTGAGTCCGTCTGGTCGAATACCCGGCCTAGATGACGCAAACACATACTTTGACGACAATATTGATTTGAACCAATTTATCGACCCAAATGCTTATACAGCTGACGGGTCTGTCAATGACTTCAACTTCGATACCTCCCACTTGAACGATGGCCCGAGTTTTGATTGGAATCCTGACAGTGGTGACTTTGGAGCCGTTGGTGGCCTCAACACTACTAACAGGATTATTGAAACGAATACACCAAGTCACAAATCGCCCAGCCCAAGTGGCACCGAAGAAATTCTCCGTAATGATTCAGATGACAGTCCGGGCCGTGCCACGAAAAGGCAGCGCAAGGCGTGATGGGATACTAGTTGGAGGACCGCGGGAGTTTCTGGACATTAAGATCTCAAAAAGTATTCAACGAATAAGACCATCTCGCAATGGTTGTAAACGGATCGAACTACACGCGGGTGTTCTCGGGGTGCACCTACATATTGAACTACATGCTGGGAGGAAAGATCTTGGCCTTGCGAAGGCGTTGGGAGTTTTCGACGGACTTGTTCGAGGGTTGCGTTGCGTTGCGCGATGGCATTTTGCGGCATCTTTGATATCCCCTAACATCACTCTTGTTCCCCCTCTTTATTACCTCAGGTACCTTAGGTGCTTTTTTTTCGTGGCGACTAAGAGGAGACGAGGAGCATTTTCACCAGGAAGAAAACGAAAGAAGGAGATAAAGAAAGGAGAATGGCCGATCAGGGGCCAGGGCGCAGTCATGATGATGAAACTTCTTAGATTTAGATTTTCTTCGGCCCCCCAGTACGATGGTCTCTCAGGTCTCCTGCAGTAGGGGACTTCGCTTATAGTCGACTGCATTCGGACAGATTGAGTCCTGCAGTCGTATTGAATCGATGGATTTCTTTCGTCCGTCCATATTTGGTCTTTCGTTTCCTGATTCCATGTGACATGCTTGCTTCTAATAACTATTTCAGATTCGAATTTTGAATGAAGGATAATATCAGCCAACTCTATTTCATGATTAATACCTAGTAGATAAGCTATGTTAACCATAGTCCACGCAATGTCAAGGCATACCGCTATAACACCTGACACTCAACAGCAGCATACTCTAAAATAGCGAGCGCTACAACCTGATTTCTGAAGGGCTCATTCCTTGGGGAAGCGCGGCCCATGCGCAAAAGATAGAACCACGGAATCAAGATCTGAAGTCCCCGAAGAGCCATTATTCGTTCCAGTGGTCCGCTTGGTGAATAATTGGCCCGGTATACCCGGGGATCGGGATCGGATCGGCATTGCGAAGTACGGAGCGGGCTGGACGGATCGCAAAACCTCATTGTACCCTCTGCGTATAGTACTTACAGCGACTCAATTTTAGATTGAGCAGTAGCAGATTAAGCTTAGAACGTAACTATCTCTGCGCATACGTCAATTTATTTTATAAAAAAAAATATGTGAATGCCGAACCCATGGTCCTTCCGAGTACCTGCATCATCCAGGCGAAACAATCTTACACAACACATACATGCATGCATGCATACGCAAGACACCAAACAGGCACCACCTAACACATCCATGTGCCAAAAAAAAATAGGCAAAGACAGGAATAATAAAAATGACCAGAGGACAAAAAGATAGTCACGCCGTGGATCGAACACGGAACCTTCTCGGGACTTAGAAGCTGAACACATTCCTGTGAACGAGAAATCATAACCATTAGACCACGCGACTTGTTGCTTGATGAGGAAATTGCCTTCTATTTTGGGTCTTGTTGCGTGCGGCTGTTTGCAGCGCTCGCTTGCATTAGCGCGTACGGGACCGCTATCGTGAGCGGACGTGGTCTAGAACCTCTAGTTTTATTTCTGGGGCGGGACCGAGTACGTGCAGTGGAATTTGGAGAGCCGTTTGCTGTGTGAGAGAGGATCGAAGGTAAGAAGAAACAGCCTGTTACAGGGAATATGAACATGGCAATCAGTATATTACGTCTCATAATATTTGGTCCGAACTCCTATATCTAATGTAATTCCTAACCTGATACTGTATTCCAGAACAAAACGCGCCACACCCTGTTTTCAACGGCGAATTACTTGGGTATCAAGATATACTAGCTGTAAAGCATATCCGAAATTACATCTCTGGTTATGATATAAGTAAGATCACTACGACTCGTGAATTTTACAAGCTCGGAGTGATTGCGGGGTATCCAATATCGATTCTCGCCATCTACAGCTTCTTGATCATCTACACGTCGCTCATAAGGGGCTTGCGCGTCCTGTAGAGCACGTTAGTTTGCTTGAGTACCAGATTGAGGTTGGAGGGCGGGGAAAGATCTTACGAAGAGGTCGGGAGACGGGCTGGTCTCATAGAAATAATGTATACTGAGCTTGTCCTTGCAGTAAGAGAACCGCTTTGCCAGATCATTTAAGTAATGGGAAGGGCTGCTATTCTCGGTGCAGATGCTTTTAATCATCTCAAAGTTTGGTTGCCCCTTAACGACATTGAGGAGCGACTCGTTCTTGAGTCCATTTGTTGGGACACCATATCCAAGAAAGCCGACCGAGCTAGTCAGTAAATTGCCAGGAAGATTAAAGGACCTGTGTTGATATGACTGGGCCAACACCTTTGGGATGTTAAGATAATGACTTGCGAGAAGATATTGAGGTTTACGTACTTCTTGCACGATGAGTCCTCCCATGCTTTGGCCAATCCATATTATTGGCCTGGCTTGTGTCTGTGCTAGAGGTTAATTAGGATCCTATTGGATATTGTGTGGCTATTACCTTGGTCAATTTGCGAAAATTCGAAATAAAATTCTTGCATGTGCTGGCAATCTCGCGGATGGTCTGGTCAGATTTCGATCCAGGAACTTTAGAGTCATACCCATAAAGCAAGACGCGACAAGATTGGAAGTTTTCTTGCAAATAGTCCCGGAGCCACATGTCGTGGCCCTGGGGAGCACGGAAAGTGCCAAAGGGGTTAGTGCCTAGGCCTTCTATAGCAATTATACTATTGCATCAAATAGTGTTAGCTAGCATGCGGAGTTCATGAGCTCCATTACTTACTCAGTTGTAGCCTCTTCGCCAGCATCGTATAAAGGGGTTATGCCAAGGAAGGTCGTATCGTATTGAAAGTTTGAAGGGCCACGAAGTTTGGCTTCGTCCGCTTTGAGTAGATCATGTAGCTTGTCATTAGATAATGCAGGAAAGGTAACGGTGGCATATTTTTGCCAATGAGTATCTCGCGAAGCTCGGGCAAGACTATGGACTTCGCAGGTGGCGTTAAAAAGTTTCCCGAGCTCTGTTTCTAGTTCATTCCTCAATACGTCGTCACGAATGTTTAGAACACGGATGGTATCTGGTCTAGTAGCTCCCGGTTCATTAATCCTCGTCCTTGGGTACTGACTGCGTCCGGGTAAGTTACAGCTTTGGGGACTATATTGTTAAGTTAACGGGATACTTGAGATTGGGGCGTTCATTTACTTACTCGCAAGATGAGCTTGCAGAGATAGCCCCCTTTTCATAACACGATTTAGACTCTTGTTCAGATATTATAGTGCTCAGTGCGGGCGCGACTAAATGACTCTGTTGATGCAAGCCATTAGGTTCTGCTATGGTTGAAAATCGTACTCGGCGTCTTGTGGTATCGTCTGGAAGTCGCCGCTTTTCTTTCGATGGTGACACGCTGCTATCCGGCATGTATGTCCCTTGCTCTAGACGTATTGGCCATCCTCCGTTAGCAAGGTCCATACTTTGCACCAAGAAATCTAACTTGTCGACTGAAAGGTCGCCAAAGCCCTGCTCTAATTCGTCTTCAAGTCGGCGGACAATTTGCTGATATATAACATCTCGAAGGCCGTGCTCGTCTAACTCTTCACCGTCGTCAGTGAAGCCAATATTTGGGTTCAGGCAAGAGCTGATAGCCATTCGTGTCTGGTCGGTAATTCCTAACCGGCACTGCTTGAATATTTCTCTCACGAATATATAACGGGCTGCGGGGTTCGTCTCGTCAACCACAGGGACACCGCAAATGTCTGCTAGGGAGTCAAGAGGCTTGGCTTGGTGGAGTTCCATCAGCACAACAGCTAAGTCAACTAGACCCGGATATCGTGGTGATAACTCGTCGTCTGGATCAAAGTCATCATCGTCATCCATTGGCGTGCGCCCTATCGGAAACACGGTATGTGTGTCATCTAGAGGAGTTTCAACGTATGGTCTCATCGGTAAGCCGCTAGATGATCTAAAGAACATGACGTTGGGTGAGCCCCATGGTGATTTGAGCCAAGGCGTGCCGTGAAGGTGAAATACGGCATAGCTTAGAAGTACGCTTAGGATTCTCTTAGTCTTCTCATTTAACACGTTCGACTTCTGCAATATGATCTGGGCCAAAGACAGAGGGGGTTTAGATTTGTCGATCTTGAAGCTGCTCTCTTCAGACCGGAGCTTCCAGAGGCTATCTTCCTCCAAGCGAAGCCTCAGTCGGTAGTTAGGGAAAGGCTTCTTTATATCTTTGCATAACTTTTGGACTATACGCCTCCTTTCGCGACAGCCGGGTTTGTTCATGGTATTAGTAACGACTGGTATCGAATTATCGACGACGATAGTAGGCATTCGATGTTTTGGAGATGTAGCTGTCTGCACCCTAGCTGTCTGCACCCTAGCTTCCTGCCAGCCCTCGCCAAGATCGAGGTAAAGGTCGAAGTCGTATTCAACCAATTTAGCTCGGTGCGTTTCAAGGCAAAGTTGCACCACATATTCATGTGTGGGATTGCAGCTGCAACGTCTCCTTGAGTCGAGTACCTTGAAAAGTAAGTTTGCGGCGGGCCAGATTCCATCCGGTGGTCTTTGCCTCGCCTTCGGAGGGATAGACGAGTCATACTCCTGTAGGACAACAGGTTCAGAGACCCGAGTCTTGAGGTAATCGTTACTATCTTTCAACAGTATGATCAACGTCGACTGGTCATCTCTTGATTCAAAATCAATGCATCCTTTGAGGATCTTGATTCTATTGACTTGATCGCTGTCCTCGGACGTCAAATACCGATGCAGCGCACCCAAGTTGGGGTATGGTGAGGTCGCATCTTCCTGTGCTAGGTAGGGCTGTAGGTTACTGAGTACGACGAGCGATTCTAGCCGCTTTAGCTTGTCTTCTAGGTAATCCGAAAGCGGTTCGAGCTCTTTTATATCGATGATTTGGCGGTGCAATTGAAAGCACTGGGCGAAAAGACCATAATAGAAGCTCTTGCTATCCAACACAGACTCAGGCTGCCCAAGATTTTCGGCAATTTGCCGGAAGTCCTCCAACGCAGAGAGTAATATTGACCTGAGCTCGTTCATGCCGAAGCCAGTCATGGGACTTCCATGGCGTACTGGCGGAATGTTGTAGTAAAATGACACTATCCGTCCACACACCACCTAACATAATACCTTAGGTAGGTAAACATGAGTTGAGAGGTAAGGTTCCGGCTGATTTCAATTTGTTGTTCAGTTGGCAAGTATCTCGCTCCCGCCTTCCTTGGGCAGCAGCCCCATAGATACCTAGGTAGATACATACCCAATAACTTGGAAGACCTGTGAGCTATAAGCTAAGCCACCTGCAGGGGGTTTCACTCCTCTATCGGCACCTAAACGATGCTTGAAAGTTGAAGGTACCAGTACCTGTATGTAGCACATGTAGTATTACATGTATATAATAGGGCAGGTGGGGTAATGTAATACCCCATCCCCATGTTAAGTGGCGGGATCAGAACCGCTTCATTAATAATATCTCTTCATCTTCTCGGAGTTGGAAATGCATTACTGTCTAGCTATAGACCGCCGATGATCCATGATGTCTACCACGGAAACACCGCCTCGTATCTCGACATTTGCTAGGCAATGTCTTATCTCGTTCAAAGAGTGCCTCGAGGGCACTTCAGCTCTCGACACGAACCGATACTCGAGCATCGAAGATCAGATGGCTCGCTTTTCTATCTGGTCCGCGAATATGGCCGTCTTTTCTAGCGGAAAAGCCTGCATGGATCACCATGTTCGGGAAGTACCAGAAGTCCAACGCTTGATCTTAGGGATACTGGAAATACTTCAGGGGCGCCTACAGGAGTGTAAGTCTTGCATACCTACTTGGCATATATGAAATCATTCGTCTTGTCACGCTCATAGACCATGTTTCCTTATAATTTTTCCTACCTAGGTACCCTTATCATCAAGCGCATTACTGGTTTCTCTATTGAAAAGCAGTTCGCGACCTTGGCGCAGGGTGACTTTGAAAGAATTACAGAAGCAATTTCCTCGCAGGTTAGCCTTCTTCATGAGTTGTCAGATACTATCCGCAAAGCAAGCAGAGAGTCCCAGGATGTTAAATTATCTGCTACTTTCCAAATCAAAGACGACGACGGGAATGACTCGGAAGATATCTCAAAAGATTATTTCGCAAACAATATTAGGGACCGCTTTCCAGACAGCAGTGATGTCATTAGTGATAGACTTGCAACTACTATGGTCCTGAGACGAAAGAGAATACTACATAGGAGGTCTCGCCATACCATAAATCCCACCAAGCTAGCTGTTCCTATATCGAAACCTCTCATCAGGCTTCAGCTGATGGCTCAACTACAAAATATTCAAGAGAAACTACCACAAAACCAAAGCATCGAGCCGATAGCGGTTCCTAGCACCACCAATTCAACGCCGCAAAATTTACAACAAGCCGCCTCACCATCATTTTCCTATGCTAAT